GTAAACATACGTGGCTTCAATTACATTATAATTATTTGTTTTACAGTAACGTAATGTTGGAATTACAAGGTGCAAAACACACGTTAATGAGGGTATATATATGGTTCAGGGTCTTTCTTGTAAACAATGATATAAACATTTACACACACACACACACACACACACACACACACACACAGATTAGTTAAGGATTCAAACTTTGGATAATTGTACAGTTCGTCATCACTGATCACACCCTGGAACACCCTACCACACCCTGGATCACTCTACCACACCCTGGAACACCCTACCACACCCTGGATCATCATAATACACCCTGGATCACCCTACCACACCCTGGAACACCCTACCACACCCTGGATCACCCTACCACACCCTGGGTCACCCTACCACACCCTACTACACTCTACCACACCCTGGAACACCTTAACTGGATCACCCCACCACACCTTGTATCCAACTAACCACATCTTAAAACACCTTACCACACCCAGATCATTCTAACACCCCGTTGGATCACCCTACCACATTCTACCACACCCTACCACATTCTACCACTCCCTACCACACTCTACCATACCCTACCACATTCTGGGGCACGAAATTGGTAGCTTTGGTGGCTTGGGTAGGTTGGATTCCATGTGAAGGTTGTGGATTTGGGATGGGACAGGACTCTGCTGTTGCCTTTCTTGTCAGCTAAGTCCTCTGTTGCTCTCCACAGCCTGGTATGATGATCAATACTACCAGGGTTATCACCGCTACCAATGCCACCAGCGCTGTCAACATACGCCGGTTTTGACGCGCTACTGTAGAAGAGAGAGAGAGAGAGAGAGAGAGATTAAATTTCTATATGTCAGTAATAGTTTGCCAATATAAACTAAGGTAGAAGTACTGTAAACAAGACTCTAATATGTAAAAAAGGTAGAAAATATTATTCACGGATCTCGTAAACAACACAAAATTATAAAATTAAGTTCAATTTGACGTCAAAACAACATTTAGACTTCATTTAACTCACCATTTTTACCATCGTGTTGTAGCTTCCTGGTGTTGGGGTCTTGGTCGAGGTTTGGTCTTGGTTGAGGTCAAGGGTCCTCAGATTCGACGTCAAACGGGCATTGGTCACCCCTTCGTTTTTTTCTGTCAGGTGATTGGTTGATAAAGAGGAGGGAAGATTGGTAGGGGAAGAAGTGAGATTGGAGGGAGGAGGAGGAGGAGGAGGTGGGATTGGTAGGAGGGGGTCAGACTTGGTTGTAGGGAGGAGGTGGGATTCGTAGGGGAGGGTGGACTTGGTTGTAGGGGAGGAGGTGGGATTCGTAGGGGAGGGTGGACAGTTGAGGAGGAGGTGGGATTCATGTAGGGGAGGGTGGACTTGGTTGGGGAGGAGGTGGGATTCGTAGGGGAGGGGGTGGACTTGGTTGGGGAGGAGGTGGGATTCGTAGGGGAGGGGGTGGACTTGGTTGGGGAGGAGGTGGGATTCGTAGGGGAGGGGGTGGGATTAGTCGGGGAGGGAATTGATTTAATACTGCGCCTGCGTCGAAAATTCTTCTCCCCTGCAAGCGACAACGAGCCTAAAAAAAATAATAATATGTAAACAAAATGAAATGGAATAATTGAGAGAAAAAAAAATAGATTAGACATAAAGAAAATAAATGAATAATTGTAAGAAAACTAATCAAATAAGTAAATAAAATATAATAAATCGTTTGAATGAATAAATAGCAAAGAAATTAGACGAATAACTGAATATATAAAGAGATAGTGAACGAGTCTTCACCTGAAACTCACCTGGGTAAATAGGTGCTTCCTCCTTAATTAAGTGTTGCCAATTTGGGTCCTTTACCTGTAAAATAAATCTTACTAATTAATGAGTTTCTCTGTCTCTATCTGTCTTTCTCTCTCTCTTTATCTCTCTATCAAACTTTCTCTACACACACACACACTACCATCACCCACACACTACCATCACCCACACACCCATCACCCACCTACTCTTATCGTCACCCACACACCGACTTACCCTGTCAACATCTGTCTCTGTTGGCTCTCCGTCCAAGTTCAAATGACGGTCACTTCCTGTCAACAAAACCATCTCTGTTTTGACGGTCTCTGTACTGAAGAGACGGGAGGAAGAAAATTTATTCCACAGGCGAGAGAAAATGGTAATTAGATCTCTAAAAACACTTTAAGGGTTCTCGTCATATTTCAAGGGGTTTTGGGTCAGATTTCAATGGGGTTGGATCAGATTTTAGGGGGTTAGGTCAGATTTAAGGGATTTGGGTCAGATTTAAGGGATTTGGGTCAGATTTCGCGGTTTTTTGTGTTAGAATTTAGGGGGTTTGGGCATATAAAGGAATTTTGTTAGATTTCAGGGGTTTAGGTCAGATTTCAGAGGATTTGGACCAGATTTTTAAGGGGTTGGTTGAGATTTTAGAGGAATTGGGCGAATTTAAGGGGTTTGGGTCAGATTTTAGACGGTTGGATCAGCTTTTAAGGAATACTGGTAAGATTTCAGAGGATTTGGTTCAGATTTCAGATTGACGACTTACTTGTCATGGTAAAAGTGTTGGTTGTGGTTGTTGTGGTTGTTGTGGGATAGTGGAGCCTCCAGAACCACCATCTTCGCCTCACAGCATAACAAGCCTATAACCACAACCATGTTATATAATGCAAACAACAGTTAATAGGTTATACTGTTATGAGTATGTTATCAGATGTTGTTATGAGTATGTTATCAGATGTATGAAATATACTCTCTCTCTCTCTCTCTCTCTCTCTCTCTCTCTCTCTCTCTCTCTCTCTCTCTCTCTCTCTTTCTCTCTCAGGTACTCACCCAGCGTCAGGAGGGTCCCGCCAATCATAACCTGAGGGAGAGACACAAGCTGTTATAACGACTTACTAAACTAACCGACCAATACATTAACGAAAAAGGAAATGAATAAATAAGTATAGAATTAAATAACTGAATAAATGATGGATTATATAAATGAATAACTTATGTAATTAACCTGTGATAATGTTAGTTAGTGTGTATGTTGATGTTGTGTTGAGATTTCATTACGTGACGAGAGCAATATTTATACATGAATCCGTAAGAATCCGCGACTAATTCTCGGTTCGTGAATCCGTGAAAATCCTCAGTGTGTTTTTACCTCTATTTGTGTGTCTATCTCAATGTCTACTTCTGTCTTTTTATCTACCTTCACCTGTACCTCTAACTCTACCTTCACGTGTACCTCTAACTCTACCTTATCCTGTACCTGTAATTATCTACCTTCACCATTACCTGTACGTGACCCTGCTGCACCTGTACCTTTACCTGTGTCTTAACTTGTACCTATACCTGTAATTATCTACCTTCACCTGTCCCTGTACCTTATCACACACCCAAATTACTAACCGTACTGTTCCTTCTGATATAAACAGTGTGACTTTAAACCTAACACCTACAGCACTGTACCTGTAGACGGCTCATGTTGTATTGTACTGAGTAGCGTCACAGAGGGTTAATGGCGCCTTGGTCCTGGTGGTGGTGGTGGTGAAGAGGAGTCGCCCGGCGTCTCTCAACTCCCCAATAAGAGTGGCTGAGGGTGGTGACGCCGGTGGTGGTAGTGGGGTGCTGATGCCAGGGAGTCCCCCGTGTTAACAATCAATCGAGACCATCACAGATGAACGATACTAGTGTTATAACATTCCAATGCAGCCAGTTTAGTTTATTACCTACACCATCTATTTATTTTTCTGTAATATCTTCTTATTTTCTTTCTTCTCTCTAGATATAACTGACTCCTTGTAGATACATTAATGATCTTTCTGTAGTTTTGATGTTATTTAGGAATTTATATTTGTATTGATGTTTAAGTGATTTATTATATTTTTTCTTAACAGCAATGAGTAAAAATAAATTACGTATCTTCGAGAATTCAGTTCCAGCCTAGCACCTCTCCAGACCTCAGCCTAACCTAGCACCTCTCCAGACCTCAGCCTAACCTAGCACCTCTCCAGACCTCAGCCTAACCTAGCACCTCTCCAGACCCCAGCCTAACCTAGCACCTCTGCAGACCTCACCCTAACCTAGCACCTCTCCAGACCTCAGCCTAACCTAGCACCTCTGCAGACCTCACCCTAACCTAGCACCTCTCCAGACCTCAGCCTAACCTAGCACCTCTCCAGACCCAGCCTAACCTAGCACCTCTCCAGACCCAGCTAATAACCTAGCACCTCTGCAGACCTCAGCCTAACCTTGCACCTCTCCAGACCTCAGCCTAACCTGGCACCTCTCCAATTTGACCCCAACCCTAGCACCTCTCCAGACCCCAGCCCAGCCCTACTTTCTCTGCAGACCCCAGCCCAGCCTAGCACCTCTCCAGACCTCAGCCTAACCTAGCACCTCTCCAGACCCCAGCCCAGCCTAGCACCTCTCCAGACCCCAGCCTAACCTAGCCCCTGAGCCAGCCCAACACCTCTGACATGGCCAAGATGGTCTCAGGTTACCCTCAATGATCCTAATTCACGTATAATAATCCATTAATCCATCCTAAGTCAATATAGAGTTTATCCATCACCTAAACAACGTGGATAAGATCACTAGCTTTAAATTGTGTTGTGATTTAATGTAAACAAACTAGAACACTCGACCTGGTTAAGAGCTGTTCTACATTACACTAAATTTCTAAACGTAACAGCTTCAGTTTGATGTTATCACTGTTTAAACAAGTATGTAGGTTAGGCTTAGGTTAGGTTAGGTTAGATTTAGGTTAGGTTATGGGATAGAAGACGGGAGATAGGTGTTGTAGTCCTTCCCTGGTTTTGGAATGTTTTGTGGAAGGACTTGAGAAAAGGCAGAACGCGGAAAAGGAGAGAGAGAGAGAGAGAGAGAGAGAGAGAGAGAGAGGGAGAGGTGGGGTAGGGGGGGGTGTTACGTCACACACACATTTCCGGACACGTATATGATCAGCTGATATGTAAGAATGATAATAAGTGACCTGAACACATCATAGCTCCACCCTCTCACACATGACACTGTCCACCACACGCTCAGTACAGCCTAATACCCTTAGTCCTCACCTGCACAGTCTTCAAGCCTTCACTACTTCAGCATCCATACGCCTTACCCTACCACTGAAACCTCTATGGGAGCCCCTCATAACCGCTACTGGGCTCCGGGAAACAACATTAACGCCTACAGTCATCCATAGTGTCTACTTTTTCTTCTACATCAACAACCAGAGACCTTCATCATCTTTGGGAAATTAGAAGGCTTTGAGTGACGTGTGTAGCTACTACAGGAATTTCTCAGCAATACACACACACTCATCGTCAGTGGCCCCTGGAGGAGAGCAAGTCCAGCCATCAGGTAAGAGAGAGACAGACAGGCAGACAGTCAGGTCAGACAGAAGGATAGATTAGCAACAAAAACCCTCTGCATTTCCTTGGCCACTTAATAACCTTTAATGTTACCAAGAATGTGTTTATACTATACATTAAAGACAGAAATTGAGTATATTTACCCCAGATAGTAAACTCTATAATGATGTGTACGTTCTAACATTCTCCGTCTCTCTGTGTACAGGTGTGGCAACGAGGGACGATGTTGGTGACAGGTAAATGATGAACTAATTAACTCTTCTTACCTCATCAGACACCAACACCTGTAGAATAATATATCGAGTATAAACCACAACTAGAAGTGTAAACAAAGGGATGGGAGATGTAAACAGACTATATAATAATGAATCGAAAAAAAAAATGGTGCAAACAATAATAAAATACAAACGATAATATGGAATGGGAAGTATTGAGATTATTTTAAAATTATGTTGTAAATAAACTTGAAAATATTATAAAGTTTGGCTGTTTTATGATGGTGATTTAACATGTAAATTCGTCCGGGTTCCAGTGTTGTGTTGGTGGATGCTGGTGACGGCTGTGGTGGCTTCAGACCTTCCCGTTGACGAGGCATTTGAGTACTATGACGAAGAGTTAATTATACAAAATAAATAGTAAGTCATTTAGTGGATTCTCAGAGCTTCTTATGGTAGTTTGGAGTTTTTTTATCGTAAATGAGGGTAAGTCGATGATAATTATGGAAAAACTTCAATTTACGATGGTGGTGATGGTGGTAGTGGTGGTGCTGGTTATGGTGGTAAGGAGGATGGTGGTAGTGGTGGTGGTAAGGGTGGATGGTGATGGTGTGAGTGGTGGTGGTAAGGGTGGATGGTGATGGTGGGAGTGGTGGTGGTAATTATGGTGGTTGTGGTGGGTAGTCTTAGTGGGTAGTGGTGATAGTGGTGGGGGTTGAGGGTTAATAAATGGGGGGGGGTGGTTCTCATTTGTCCGTATGTATGTATGTTTATATTTCGTCTCCTTTTTTTTTCTACCCTTGAGTGTGACTGAGGTGATGAAAGCAGCGACGGTGGAAGTTACAGTTGACCCACACCCAGGACGTATTGGTGAACCTGTCTCTGTGAAGATCAAGGTAACACACACACACACACACACACACACACACACCTCGAGCCAGTATAGGTTAAGTTTAAATCAGTGGAATATAAACTTGAATCATTATCAAGCTCTTAAGTCAGGGTGATTTAAAAATGAGTCAAGCTTAATCTACTTGAATTTAAGGTTAATCCAATTTATGTAACACCCATTTAAGCTTATGTAATAGCTATTTAAGCTTTATGTAACACCCCATGGTTACGATTCACTCAAGCTTGTGTTTACAGATCAACAACGCTGAACATGCTGGCGTGGTTATGTACCGGATTGACTTTGGTGATGGATCTTCTAAAGTGCGAGGTGTACTTGACGGTGAGTGTGTGTGTGTGTGTGTGTGTGTGTGTGTGTGTGCGTGTGCGTGTGCGTGTGTGTGTAAATCAAATAATAACCTAAATTAACTATATATAACCTAAATAAACTCCAATATCTATTTTAATAATCTATATGTTCTTGTTCATCGATTTACATCATTCATTAATCTATTTCTCTCTTCAAATTACTTTTTTTTTCGTGTATTGATTTGTTTCTTGACTCGTGTTTCAGATTCGAAGAAAGTGAAACGATCCCATAGGTACTCCGCCAAGGGTTCGTATACAATCGAAGCCAAGGTGTTGGGTTTAGGTACTCCTCGAACCCGTAAAAGGACCGTCAATATTACCAAACCTCCACGTCCAGACTCTCATGATGACTGTAAGTTCTTTAGTTCTATGTTGACGTTTGTTAGTTCTGTCAACACGATCATAAGTGCAATGAAGACCTGTGTTAATTCCGTGAAAACGTTTCTAAGATCAGTGAAAACGTTTTTGTGTTCTCTAAAGGTGTTTTTTAAGTTCTCTTTGGATGATTGGAAGGTCTTAAGTTCATTGAAGTCGTTTGTATGTTCTCTTAAGACGATGGTTAAGTTCTCTATAAATAAATATAAGTTCTTAAGTTCTCTGCAGACGTGTTTAAGTTCTATGAGGATGATTGTAAATCCTGTTAAGACGATTGTTAGTTCAATGAAATCAATTGTAAGTTCAACCAATATAATTGTTAATACTACCAAGATGTTTGTTTCCACCATGAAGTCGTGTGTAAGTTCAGGTTCGACACAGACCTTTATAAGTTCCCTGACGACGATTGTAAGTCTATCTCTCTTTTTTTAATACCAATTGTCTCTATAAATAAAACAAATGACTCACTTTATCGCGTTTAAAGACCTTAGTTGTTGAAGTAACGAGAGAAATAGAGATAACATGAAGCATTTAGTCTCTTGATTCGTGTTAGGGTCTCTTAGTTTGAGATGATTATTCTTTTTGGTGCTATTATCTCTCTCTCTCTCTCTCTCTCTCTCTCTCTCTCTCTCTCTCTCTCTCTCTCTCTCTCTCTCTCTCTCTCTCTCTCTCTCTCTCTCTCTCTCTCCATGATATAAAACTAATTACAATATCTCCACATATCTCAAAGACATGAAACTAACCAAGATCTCTCAGCATCTCTCTTACACATTAAACTAACCCTTAAGTCTCTACCATCTCTCCAGGTCGTCGTAATAATCTCTGTCTTTCTGTCTCTCTCTCCTACAGCCGTGCAAGATAATAAAGAGAAGAACGGCTTGTACATCGGTCTGTTGGTGTTGGCTGCCCTGCTTCTGGTCATCTGTTTAGTGTTGGTAGGCCTGGTTCACGGCACGACGGTCGCTATTATGAACGCTCGCTAGAGGATTGAACTTTGACCTGATATCTGTGACCAATGTAGCCAAATGAGGGTCAAATTCATGGCTGACCTCTGACATCACTATCGTCATATGTGTGTGTCAATTTGATACGTAACCTTTGACCTGTGACGCGTACTGTATGCCACCATCACCACCAACCAAACTTAACCTAACCTAAACCTGATTTAACTTAAACCTATCCTAACCCAACCAAATTTTACCTGAATTCAACCTAACCTAACTAAACCTAATCAGACTTACTGTACCCCTAACCTAACCTAACCTAACCACGCTATTATGTTCAAAATTCCGGTTCTCTTTTCTGTTTTCCTTCAAGTTTTGCATCACCATGTAACGAGTGTGTGTATGTGTGTGTGTGTGTGTGTGTGTGTGTGTGTGTGTCTTGAAATCCCTGTAACTTTACCTGTATTTCACCTGTACTTTGATCATTAGTAGTGTTTATGTATATATAATTAATTTTATAATCACTTTGACTGTAATTATTTCTGTATCTGTATTGTTGTCTCTGAATTAATAAATAAAGCTACATCCCTATTACAGTGGAATTCAAAGACAAAAACTACTATTGAATTCACATTAAAACACTAGAAAGGGAAATCCTGTCAAACTGTAATTTAATGTGATAAAGTATTTGTGTGTTTATGTAATTGTCCATGAATAAAACAGTACTACATTAATGCATTTGTTGTATTACATATCCTGTATTAGTGTAGGATTTATTACATTGCAGAATAGAGGTGTGCGATTTTAATATTGAAAGGGATATGAATAATATAGAGATTATCATTAAAAATAAATACAAAATCATCGATAGACAGGTGGTTATTAACACAGGTAAACTCATATATACACAGGTAAGGTCATCAACACACATCTGAGGTCATCAGCACACAGGTAAGGTCATCAATACACAGGTGAGGTCATCAGCACACAGGTAAGGTCATCAATACACACCTGATGTTATCAACACACACCTGTGGTCATCAACACACCTACATAAGAACAAAAGAATGGAGGAAACTGCAGCGGGCCTATTGGCCCATACTGGGCAGTCCCATTTACACCCAACCCCTATCGCTCATATATCCATCCAACTTATGTTTGAAGCTATCCAGCGTATTCGAGTTAACGATGATGTTTGGTAACTTGTTCCACTCATTCACTACTCTATTTCCAAACCAATGTTTACCGATCTCGCGACTATATCTAAATTTGTCTAATTTAAAACCATTGATACGAGTTCGCTCATGGTTTGATAGTTTGAGTACCTTTGTTATATCACCTTTGTTTAGCCCTGACTTCCATTTATACACCTCTATCATATCGCCCCTCACTCTACGTCTCTCGAGGGAGTGCAAATTAAGATGCTTTAACCTGTCTCTGTACTCAAGGTTCCTAATGCCTGGGACTAGTCTTGTCATTCTGCGTAATCCAAGTGAGGTCATCAACACACACCTGAGGTCAACAACACAGGTAAGTCATCTACACACACACCTGGGGTCATCAACACACTCCTGGGGTCATCAACATTCACCTGAGGTCATCAACACAGGTGAAGTTATCAACACACACCTGAGGTCATCAACACAGGTAAGTCATCTACACACACACCTGGGGTCATCAACACACTCCTGGGGTCATCAACACACTCCTGGGGTCATCAACACACTCCTGGGGTCATCAACACACACCTGGGGTCATCAACACACACCTGGGGTCATCAACACACTCCCCTTACTGGGTCAGATTAATAAACTCTTATCATCGTGACATCAAAAACACTGTAAAAAATTAGGACAATTTAAACAGGTAAAATACAGTTACAGGTGTTGATACAGGTACAGGTGTTGATACAGGTACAGGTGTTGATACAGGTACAGGTGTTCATACGGGTACAGGTGTTGATACAAGTTACAGGTGTTCATACGGGTACAGGTGTTCATACGGGTACAGGTGTTGATACAGGTACAGGTCTTCACACGGGTACAGGTGTTGATACAGGTACAGGTGTTGATACAGGAACAGGTAAATAAACAGAACAAGCCCATACAAGTACAGGGAGAACAGCAGCCCACAAGTACAGATACAAGTGCAGTTACAGGTACAGTTACAGGTTCAGGTTACAGCTACAGGTTCAGGTTACAGTTACAGGTTCAGGTTACAGGTTCAGGTTACAGCTACAGGTACAAGCCTACGTATTATCCTGACCTGAATAAAACACAGGTAAATCTTTTGATCTCAACGTGTGAATAATAGGCCCTATTATTGTAAAGAGGCCAGAATAATATTATACCAGTGACGATGAGAGATTTGTGTAGATGGGAGAGATGAGAGAAGATAAGGGAATAGGAGAAGGGAGAGAGAGAGATGATAGAGAGAGGCTGGAGGAAAGGGGAGGGGGAGGAGGGTGAAGAGAAGGGGAAGAAAGAATAGATAAGAAATTGTTAATACGGTTATGGAAACTGAACAACCAAGAAGGCAAATTTCTGTACCTGTAGTTATAATACCTTGTAAAACTCATGCTCATTTACGTAACAAGTGACAATCTGTCTGTATTGTATACGTTACTAGTGACTTCTTACTGGAGGTTTAGTTATACAGCATTACTGGACTTAAATGAAAAGTAGATACCACACTCAAAGTTGACATAACATTACCCAACACGGTACAAGTAATAGGATATGAAAAATATGTAAGTGATTTTTAAATATAATAAGTAAACGTAAATCAACACAATAATATATATATATAAGGGTGAAAATAATGTACACCCCAATACTCAGCTATATAGGTTAGTGCTGGAATAGTAGATAACTCTACGACAGAGCAACAGGGAAGCACAAGAAGCAGTTGATGGGGAGAGGTGAACTAACTGGGTATGGGTGCCCAGAAGAGACATCATCTGCCCCTCAAAAGCCGTCAAAAGTTTCCCGCCAATGAGATGAAGTGTGACCCTTTTATGTTACAATACAGATGAGGAAGGAGAGGCAAGGGGAAGATGGGGAAGAGAGGGAAAGGAAGATGAGATTGAGATAAAGAGTGAGAGAAGAACAAGATGGAGAGAAGGGGAGGTGGAGGGGGAGGCAGGGAGAGAGAAAATATGGAACGAGAAAAAGGTACAAAGAGGAAGGAGAAAAATGAGGGAGAGAGAGAGAGAGAGGGGGAGGGGACAAGCTAACACGCAAACGAGACGAAAAAGATCACCATCACCCTCACTGTCATTCCAGGTTGCAGCCAGTGTGACAGGTGGTGAGGGTGAGGTCTGCGTGCTGTCTGTCAACGTCCTACTCAACCTCTCCTGTCTAATACCTCCTGTCATCTACAAGTTAATTAGTCTTCTGTCTCCTGTCATCTAAAAGCTCCCGTCTTGTCTGTCTGTGTAAAAGTAGATAAAGAAGAAGAAGGAAAGTAAAAGTAACAAGACTTTCACTAACAGGAAAAGTAATAGTAACGAAGAAATCAACTTTGTCTTTTGGTAAGTAAATTTGGTTATATATCTTGAAGTCAGGGAAAGTATTAAGATTTTGACTTTTTCTGGTAATATTGTTGAAGAATATTGAGGATAAACTTTGGTCCATTCTTCGTCATTATCCCTTGAGTACGATGAGTTAACCCTTTGAGTACGATAACTTAACCCCTTGAGTACGATGGCTTAACCCTTTGAGTATGATGACTTAGCCTCTTGAGTATGATGCATTAACCTCTTGAAAAGGACTTAACCCTTGAGTACGATGACCTAACCCCTTGAGTACGATGACCCCAACCCCTTGAGTACGATGACCTAGCTCCCTCATCTCATATGTGGCTCTGTATTATGCAGGTGTGTGAGCTGTACAGATGTGGGGTCGAAGAGTGTTGCTACTGGGTGAGTGTACATTTAATTTGTTTATTTATAATCAGTGTAAACAAAACGTTCATTTATTATTAATGTTATGATTGTTATTATTATTGTTATTATTGCTGTTATTGTTGTTGTTATTATTATTGTTATTATTATTATTGTTGTTATTATTGTTAGTGTTGTTATTATTGTTATTTTCACTTCGGTATCAACACCGTTTAAATAACAGTATCCACACCACCACTCTCTCAGGCCTAGTGTGGGTATGGGTGACTGTAGAGGCTGGGGGGGAACCAAGTCACCTTCCCCTCACTACTATAATCCCAAGAGGCACCAGTAATCCACTATATGATCCACCGTGGCACAGAGAGAGAGCCAGTGATCCGTCAGAGGAGGGTAGTGGGGTAGATGATCCACCAACGGGAAGGAATAGTAATCAGACAAGTCATCAAAGAGAGAAAAGAAATGCAGAAACAAATAATGGAAGTACTCTTGCCCCATTGACATTAAGTGGAAGTACCAATGGTCCACCCAAACTAAGTGGAAGTACTCCTGAACCACCCAAACTAAGTGGAAGTACTCCTGAGTCACCAAAAGAAGGTAGAAGTGACACTGATCCATCTAAGAGACCTACAGGCATCACTAACACAACGAAAGATCAGGGGGACAGTGTGGGGGCAACGTCATACCGAGCGAGCATTGCTGATTTACTGAAACGTGTAGCAAGTACCATTGATCCAGCCAGACGCAAAGGAAGTACCACTGCTCCTCCACCACGCAACAGAGGTACCACTGCTCCTCCACCACGCAACAGAGGTACCACTGCTCCTCCACCACGCAACAGAGGTACCACTGCTCCTCCACCACGCAACAGAGGCAAGTAAATTACACTGCTCTCCACCACGCAACAGAGGTACCACTGCCTCCACCACGCAACAGAGGTACCTCACTGCTCCTCCACCACGCAGGAAAAGTACCACTGCTCCTCCACCACGCAAACAGAGGTACCACTGCTCCTCCACCACGCAGGAAAGTACCACTGCTCCTCCACCACGCAACAGAGGTACTACTGCCCTCCACGCAACAGAGGTACCACTGTTCTCCACCACGCAACAGAGGTGGTCACTGCCCTCCACCATGCAACAGAGGTACTTGACTGCCCTCCACCACGCAACAGAGGCCATTGCTCCTCCGCCACAACAGAGGTACCACTGCTCCTCCACCACGCAACAGAGGTACCACTGCTCCTCCACCACGCAACAGAGGTACCACTGCTCCTCCACCACGCAACAGAGGTACCACTGCTCCTCCACCACGCAACAGAGGTACCACCACTCCACCAAGAGACACCGGAAACCGAGGAAATGTCTCAGCTGCTCCCATCATTAGGTGAGTCGTCCTCTCGATAGGAACGAGCAAAATCTTGACTGAATTTAATACTATCACCTCTATTACAATAAATACTAAACACAGGTATTAATAATCACTACTAACAAAACTACTGCTAATATCTACTACCAGTGATACTAACATTACGACCTTGAGGAAAAAAATAACAAATATAAACTGAGAAAATTGATTTGTTTATCGACAATGGCGCCACAAATTGCTAGATCTTATCCGGCACAGAGTAAATTTATAAATGGGTTACCAGATGTATGATAACGACCGAGGGATGTGGGGTGTCGAGGTCCTCTGTGTTGGCTTATTAAGTACAGTACGTGATAGGGGGAAGGACATACTACCTTGATCGTTGTGCTGGATGTAAACAAGATCGATAATTCTAAAGGGTTGTGTTGGTATTATTTTTACTATTACTATATTTACTACTACTATTATTATTACTACTATTTTATTTTTTTTTTATTTATTTTTTTTTTAACGTAGCCCAGCCTCTCAATAGCCACACCTTCGCCACCATTTATTATTACTACTATTACTACTATTATTTAGAGACACTGAATGTAATTTGATTCAATACTTCCATAACACAATAACTATAACAACGTGGTATTGAATTCCTAATGTGTATCTATACTTTTCGTCAGGGATACTGGAATAGCGCCCGGGGCCTTGACGGTGACGCCGACGGTGGTGTTGGTGGGGGAGGAAGTGATAGCTACCTTGGAGGTGAGTTATGGTGGTGGTGGGGGTGGTGGTGGGGGGTGTGGTGGTGGTGGTGGGTGGTGGTGGTGGTGGTGGTGGTGGTGGTGGGGGTGGGGGGTGTGGTGGGGGGGGGTGGTGGTGGTGGTGGTGGTGGTGGTGGTGGTGGTGGTGGTGGTGGTGGTGGTGGGGTGGGGGTGGTGGTGGTGGGAGATAACTAAAATGAAGATGAGACAACAGTGAGAAAGAGAGAGAGAGAGAGAGAGAGAGAGAGAGAGAGAGAGAGAGAGAGAGAGAGAGAGAGAGAGAGAGAGAGAGAACTACTACAACCACTACCACAACTACCACAACAACCACAATCAATCCTCCACCCCCCTCCCCCCAAACACACCCCAAGAGTTATGAACAACTTAAACACAACTCATAACCTGCCTGAAGGAGTACTGAGCCTTGTGTTGTATTGCAGGTGACGTCAGGAGATTGGTCAGGCCTTTATTGGGACATTGACTTCGGCGACGGATCTTCACCAGTCACAGGCCCCTACTGTGAGTGTGTGTGTGTGTGTGTGTGTGTGTGTGTGTGTGTGTGTGTGTGTGTAAGAGAACAGGTATGCATAATTCATATAATTTCGAAAATTATAGCTTCTTTTGGCCTTTTTCAATACATCTATACACATATATAACCCACACACTCACACACACACACACACACACACACACACACACACACACACACACACACACACACACACTACCAAATATCTAACTATAATGCCTTCTTCCCTTAAATGCCCACAGCCTCTCAGTCGTACTAAACGTCACCTATACAGCAGAAAAGTGTATGACGTGTTGGGTCAGTTGACCAGCGGAAGTATCCCCTCAGTCCTGCCTTCTATAATAAAGTTACCGTCAGTTCCGGTATAGAGAGGGCTGTCTACCGTTCCAGCTCTGGGGACAGGAAGTGTAAGTACCTCTTCGGGGGGGGGGTTCTATTGGGGGGGGGCCCCTTAGAACTCGGGCCTGATGATGTGTTTAGATTATATTAGATCTTGGGGTCTGTTAGAACTAGCTCACTATTGCACTGGTATATAGAAATGTTACTTTAATTCACTTATATCAACAACATTTAAAGGAATAATTCTCTCTCTCTCTCTCTCTCTCTCTCTCTCTCTCTCTCTCTCTCTCACACAGTTGTCCGGACGGTCTACATAGTACTCCTGATTCTGGTAACCATCGTGGTGTTGGGCTGTGTGGTCATTGCCTGCCTTATGGAGATGACCAGGAAGGCATTAAGACGATATTCCAACCCAAACAACAAGACGAAGCTGCTGCTGTTTAAGACGCCTGGAGGAACAGCTACAGCAGCTAAAGCAGTACCACAAGCAGCCACAACAGCTTCTGCAACAGCCACGATAGCTTTAGCAGGATTAGAAGCAGCTAAAACATCATCACAAACAATCACAGCAGCTAAAACAACAGTCATAACAGCTACAGAAACAACCACAGCAGCTAAAACAACACCAGAAATAGCAGCAGAGGAAGTAGCCTCAGAAGCTGCTCAGGCTAGTCCAGAATACACAATCCCTGGAATCCCTACCATCAACATCTAACACCACTACCACTACTACCACCACTACCACCATCAGCATCTAACACCACTACTACTACTACCACCACTACCACCATCAGCATCTAACACCACTACCACTACTACCACCACTACCACCATCAGCATCTAACATCACTACCACCACCACCACCACCAAAGTCTATCCTCCAACAGTCGTAAAGATAAGTGATTTTTTCTCCTTAATAGAATATAAACGAGTAAAAATCTTATTGTAACTTTAATTATTAACTTATCACGTAGTTTAAATGAGTTAGTTTAGAGGAAAATAAAGTTAATTAGTGGGTTATTTAAGTGTGTGTGTGTGTATGTATGTGTGTGTGTGTGTGTGTGTGTGTGTGTGTGTGTGTGTGTGTGTGTGTGTGTGTGTGTGTGTTCATTATTATTTTATCTATGAATTATATTATCTGCTGTGTCTATAATGGGATTCTAATGATATGTGTTCATTATAACCCGTAATTTATATATATATAATTTCTCTATCGGCAGCGTCTTGTAACCTAACTTTCTATAATCACTATAATATACGTGTGACAGTAATAATATTTTCCCCTATAACCTTAACAATATATTCTAGAGATAATTAATTATTAGGTAAAGTAATATAAATTAATTATTACTTTATTTAAACTTTGTCAAATAGCTTAGCTGTGTGACCTTTAAGTGTGGGGTCGTGATTGACCTTTAAGGAGTAATAGGGTGTGATTGGTGACTAACCCCAATTATTAGGGTCGTGATTGGTGACCTTTAAGTGTGGGGTCGTGATTGAGTGACCTTCAAGTGTGGGGTCGTGATTGGTGACCTTTAGTGTGGGGTCGTGATTGGTGACCTTTAAGTGTGGGGTCGTGATTGGTGACCTTTAAGTGTGGGGTCGTGATTGGTGACCTTTAAGTGTGGGGTCGTGATTGGTGACCTTCAAGTATGAGGTGATAATCCTTGTAATGTCAATAAACTAATCCCTTGTTTAGCTTTATAGTTCCTGCTTATGTTGACGTCATGTTTGTCTAATACAATATTCACACAATATTGTTATTTTCTCTACTGTGTGTCAAAGTATAATTGTATTCTACTTTTTGTGTGTTTTTTCTTGTTAAATAAAAGTAGTGTTTGTGTGTTTGGTAGGTTTTACTTATTATTGTGAGGAGTAAATATGTATAATTTTTGTAGGTTTTTATATCCGTATTATGTTATGTATCTGACAGTCATTTGTTTTTAATTATCAGTTCTCTGGTCAAATATTTCAATGGTGATAATAAATAACTTTAATATAATGACTAAATGGGTATTTCTTAAACTTAATATTTGTTAAGGGATTAAACTCCAGAAATTAAGTTTATGTAACCCGTATATATGAAGGTGTTTATCCTTCTCTAGTGTTGGTATTAAATCATTGTAATAAATTCCTTTCATTTATTTATTTCCAGCTATCTTATTACTATATTGTATATAATTATCTTAAAAATCATAGTGATGTATTTATTTTAATGTTTTATTGAAGATTAATGGATTAAATAAGCTATAATATCTTATTTCTTGAAGCAGTAATACAGTGTTATAAACAAACATTTATTTAATATTATTCTTTCTTCTCATATCCTATACACCAGTTTATCTTATTAAAATTTATCCCAATCATTGCGTTTCTCTTCTCCAAGGTTTACAACTTTTTCTCCTCAACACACACAAAAAACCCCCCATTATTCACTCTGATTTTCCGTTGTTGACTCCTGGAAATCTCAAACAATTGTAAGATACTTTTTCCCGCCATTTAAAAGGCATCAAAATACGATATATTTCTGGGTATTTTCAGGGCTATTTTTTGTTTTCGTTTACCACTGAGTATTTTCGACGATGATTGTGAAATGAAACAGTTCTTTTGAAGTCTCTCATCATCTTTTACGGGGGAGTAATTTGCGGTATGAACGTTAGTAAATCCCGACAAATAATTGGACAGGTAAGGTAGGTTTTTCCCGCCACCACCTCATCAGCGCCCGCGGGTATATGAGATGACGTGGTTGACTCATCCTGCTTCCTCGTTTCACCTTTTTCCCTTCTTTAATACGTCATCTATATATACACCTATTATCGTTCTTGGTATGTATTTAATGTTTTATAAATATCTGTATTTATCGTTTTAGACCATTTATTGCGCTTAAACTAAAAAAAAATAGATATTTATTAGCGTAAGTTTTATGATACAATAATACTAGTTTTATCCCGCGATCACTTATGTTGACACTTGATGTAAACTTCAGATTAACTTTCAAAAAATAAACATATAACTCTACCAACATGATTTATTTTGATTATGTGGGAAATAAGATATAAATAAATGTTGTTGTAATTGACAGATGGTAACGCAGGTCGCCATTGGAGTAAGGAAGCGAGGAATATTAACACAATCTTTCCTCCTGTTACCAGTCAGTACAGTTATGCAGACTAAGGTGCCCAGTCGGTAAAATTATCCTTCTGTTTTGTCCTGTTAATCAGTCTATTTTGTGTTTTTTCAATAGTGTTCACATTAATGGCGACTGGTTTTATATTTTATTCACGGACATCTGAACAGTGAGTCCTGATGGATCTTTAATCTAACCCCCTCCTTCCCCTTAAATTCCCACATCTAAACCCCTCCTTCCCCTTAAATTCCCACATCTAAACCCCTCCTCCCCCTTAAATTCCCACATCTAAACCTCTCCTCCCCCTTAAATTCCCACATCTAACCCCCTCCTCCCCCTTAAATTCCCACATCTAACCCCCTCCTCCCCCTTAAATTCCCACATCTAAACCCCTCCTCCCCCTTAAATTCCCTTCTCTAACCCCTTCTCCATCACCAGGCAAGGTGGGGTGTGGACCAATGGGACACTAACAGTAGCAGTGGTGGTGACATTGGTGATAGTGGTGACAATGGTGTGTTTGTTCCTCACTGATATACTTCAACACACTACAGAGGAGGACTGTGGGACCCCTGAAGGTAAGGTCTTTGTGGTTATTAGGTTAGGTTAGGTTAGGTTAGGATAGGTTAGGTTAGGTTAGGTTAGGTTAGGTTAGGTTAGACTATAGCGAATTCTGAAGGAGATATAAGGACCCACCTTATCCTTTGCAGATGATGATTGCTTTCAGGAGATGCTTAAAGGGTCGCCGGAGTGGGATGATCCTCAGCTCCTGAAGGTGGTGAGGGAGGAGTTTCTGAGGGCTCCACAGGTTTCCCCACCGCCGCCGCCACCCACCCAGAGGAAGCATAACCTGTCGGAACAAGACCAAGAGATACTGAAGGTGGCGAAGACGCAGGTGAGAGAGAGAGAGAGGAATGTTTTATTGTAATGGTGGAAATGGTGAGTATGGAAGGTGGTGGTGGTGGAAGAGGGTGTAGGTGGTGGTATTGGTGGTGGAAGAGGGTGCAGTTAGTAGTAGTGATATTGGTGATAGTGGTGGAAGTGGTGGTAATGGTGGCAGAAGATGGTTAGTGGCTTAACAACAGGCCCTGGTGATGGCTAGAAATAATTGATACAAAGAGGGGGGGAAACCCAAGTGACCCATGAGAGGGGCCGTGGGGGAGGGAGGTGAGAGGGACGAAGGGCAAGGTGACGTAGATATAGGCAACTGTCTCTGTTATTGGCCGTCTTGGTGTACAAAATATAATTAAGCTTCTTCCCTTCACGGTATTACAAGTCTGAGTCATGAACCAGCTATCAAGTGGTCGACCCAAGTGATCTCTGACGTAACCATATTCACAGGATTTCTTTTAACTTATATTTCTATTTTGATTTTCCAACATGGCGTCACAAATTTCCTCCCCTGTGATTGGTTCGATTTCAGCTTATAAATATCCGGGTTATATAGATGAATTTTCCGTTTAAATATATTTCACAATGTATGTCTAATAAATAAAAAAAAAATTCTTGTGGTATACAGACTAACGTTCACACAACCCTTCATAATTAGAATTACCAGGAAGAGAACAAAAAAACGCCTTCGATATTACAACACCGACTTAGTAAATCAGGAAATGTGTGGCTTACCCCAATAAACGTATCTCATGCAAGGTTAAACTTTTTATATTAAAGACTTGGATTAACGCCCACACACACACACACACACACCAGTTACTCATTAATTTTACATGTCATTCATTCAATTAACCTATTATTCACTCTAATTACCTATTATCTCTTCATTTTACCTGTTATTCAGCCATTCATTTCACATTTTCCACAGTTAAGGGAGGTGAGGTTTGTGGTGGGGGTGGCAGGTGCGTCCCCCGAACTGGTAGAGGCAATAGGCGGGCAGGGACTATGGGTCGATCCCCAGCCAGAGGAACAGCCAGGAGTACCCCCCTTCCCACACCTCTGGTACTCCCACGCCTGTCTTACCGCCTTCGTCCCCTACCTGGTGAGGATCTAGTTACCTGTTGAGTACCTAATTACCTCTACCTGGTGAGTCTCTCTAGTTACCTGTTGAGTCCTTAGTTACCTCTACCTGTTGAGTACCTGGATACCTGTTAAGTACTTAGATACCTGCTGAGTCTAGTTACCTGTTGAATCCTTTCAAGCATTTGTCATACCCGTTAAATCTCCTACCTGGTGATTCAACCTGTTAAATCTCCTACCAGGTGATTCAGTTACTTATTAAATCTTCTACCTGGTGATTCAACCTGTTATATCTCCTACCTGGTGATTCAATTACCTGTTAAATCTCCTACCAGGTGAGTCAATTACCTGTTAAATATCCTACCAGGTGATTCAATTACCTGTTAAATCTCCTACCAGGTGAGTCAATTACCTGTTAAATATCCTACCAGGTGATTCAATTACCTATTAAATCTCCTATCAGGTGATTCAATTACCTGTTAAATCTCCTACCAGGTGATTCAATTACCTGTTAAATCTCCTATCAGGTGATTCAATTACCTGTTAAATCTCCTACCAGGTGATTCAATTACCTATTAAATCTCCTACCAGGTGAGTCAATTACCTGTTAAATCTCCTACCTGGTCACATCCCTAGTAACAATTTCTTTCTCTCTCCTTCAGAACAAACACAACCAACAGTGTCTGAGTCTGTCGTCACTACTCCACGTATTGGGTCGACCTCACGTTGACCTGGTCCTAGCACACACGACTCATCCAGCCCGTGTACTGTATCACCTATGTACTAACTATGACAGGCCAGTGAAGGTAGGTATTGGTGCTTCATGTGAGTAAGTGAGTGGGTGAGTGAGTGAGTGAGTGGGTGGGTGAGTGAGTGGGTGGGTGAGTGGGTGATTGAGTGGGTGAGTGAGTGGGTGAGTGAGTGAGTGGGTGGGTGAGTGGGTGATTGAGTGGGTGAGTGAGTGGGTGAGTGAGTGGACCTCATATTTTTTTCTTTCGTTGTCTGTCTGTCTGTCTGTCTGTCTGTCTGTCTCTACGTAAACCAAGGATATAAACCCACTAATGCCTCACCCTTCACACATCCTGCAGATGGTGGTGGCGAAGAAGGTGCCAGACGTACAAATATTGGCTGACGAACTTCAAGACTGCCTGAAGATCTTTCACCACCTGGGAGACAACATCACCGTCTTCCTCATTAACAATAAACATTAGCATCTGTCTGTCTGCTGTACCTGTATGTCTGTCTCTCTCTCTGTCTCTCTCAAACAGGGTATTTGTATATATGTCTTTAGCCACACAGTTGTCTATATGACTAGTAAAAACACCTTTATTTATCTCACCTGTGTTTCCTTAATTAGTTTTTTCCCCCACACTCCTGTTTATGTCTTGCTGATCAAGGGAAATTATACCACATGAATTAAATCTATTCCAGATATTTACGTCTTGATAAGGATTATTAAATATGAACTTGGTGAGCGAAATGTACAGAGTGATCGATAAATTTCTGTACATTTATGATACAATTTTTATTTGATCTCAAGAGTCCGGTAAAGTGATACGAGTGTCCTAAGTGGTTATTAGACGGTCGGTAAAGTATTTTGATTTTAAACCGGATTAGTTTGACTTGTTTTGTGAGACAGTCAGCCAAGGAATCCGGTTCGAAGCAAGAAATATGTTGCCATGGAAAGATTCTTTGTGTGATGGCCACTCTTTGACACACACACACACACACACACAAACGCACACACACACACACACACACACACATACGTACGAACATACACACGGGCGGTTATCTCCTACCAAACCTGTTTTAGTGCCCACCACAACACAACCCTGGGTGTGGTCAAACAGAGTCGAGGGAGTGGGGAGGGGAGGGGAGGGGGGAGGAAATGGTGCGTAAGGGGTTCGAACCAGTTAACTCTGTGTGTGTGTGTGTGTGTGTGTGTGTGTGTGTGTGTGTGTGTGTGTGTGTGTGTGCGTGTGAGTGTGTGTGTGTATGTGTGTGTGTGTATGTATGTGTGTGTGTGTGTGTGTGTGTCTGTGTGTGTGTGTGTGTGTGTGTCCATGTCACGAATAATGTCAATAATTACGTAAAGAAGTTTTTGCATCACCTGTAATGATCACAAAAACATTGCAGGTGAGACACATACCTGAGTGGTGGGTTACGCCCTTCATCCCCTTCCCAAAAGGTTACAATGTACCATGTCCCTCCCCCACCAGCCCTCTCCTACCCCGTTCCATCAGTCCCTCCTACCCCCTCCCACCAGCGATTCCTCCGACCTCCCGCCTCCCCCTCCACCCCATTTCTCCCTCACTTCTTTTCTCCCTTAGTCTCCACACCTCCCCTGAATTGACTAAAGCCAAGGACCTGGGTAATACGTAATAAACTGATCTTAAACCTTGAGAAAACCCACTACACGATCTTTCACAGAAGGAAAAACTTACCCCCAGACTTGGACCCCCTGTACCTTGGTAATACAGTCCTCAAACACGAACAAAATATGAAATTCCTCGGAGTTATTGTTGATGAGAAACTTTACAGGAGAAACCACATACAAGCCATTCACAGTAAAGTCAATAAACAGTGGGGTATCATGTATCACACTCGACAGTCACTCACTCTCACAACAATGAAAGAAATCTATCATGATCTTGTTTACCCACACCTGATACACTGTCACACACTATGGGGGGCCTCTGGCTCTTCAAAAACACAATCTCTGGTTACTGCACAAAAGAAAGTTGTACAGACAATGACCTACTTGAAAAAACCGATCACACAAACGAAAAATTTGCTAAATTGAAAATGTTAAAATTCGAAGATATTAACACCTGATGCTGTGCCCTCTTTGTTTACAAATCTATCAATCACTTGCTTGAAAATAATTATTTCCAGTTCTGGAATAATCAGAGATACAACTTAAGGCACACCAGAGCTACTAAGACCACCCCCCCCCCTCCCATGCGCTCCTCTCAGTCCCAGACCTCCATAAAATATCACGGTGTAAAGGTGTGGAACAACTTATCCCCACCCATCCGAGCAAAGACTACGCTCCCTTCCTTTAAATCATCTCTTAAAAAAAAAATATCTATTGTCTAAGTATTAATATTTCTTGTAACACCTACTATAATTACAGTACCTGCTTTTATTGTACCATCAAAACCGTTTTATCGGAAATTATCATGTAAATAGATAAGAAATTACCATTGCAATAAACATAATTGCCATAAAAAATAAAAAAAATTAATAAATATTGAAGTGATAACCGTGGTAACATTATGAGATGTTTTTATTACCACCATGCTATTGTACTATTCCAGATGATGCTAAATGCTACATAATACTTCCTTGGGATAAATGTATAGTATATATCAGGTGCCTCAAAGAGAGCTCAGGTTCTCAACTGGCTCAGCCATGTTAATATTGTTTTTATTATCCACTCTGTATGTGTTTTTCTGGCTAAATAAACTGTTTCAATTCAATTCAATTCTCCCGTACTATCCCTCTCTCTCCCCAACCTCCTCTCCTATCCTTCCCCCTTCCCCATCTCCTACTCTCCCCCTCACCCTCTCCCCTATTCTCACTCCCCTTCCCCCATCACCTCTCAAAATAGTTCATTACTTCCACCATCTCCCTCACTGGTCCAGAACTCGCCACTCCCCTTCCCCTCCACCCTCCCACTCCACTCTCCCCCTTCACCCTTCCCCCCTCCCCATCCCCCTCCCCATCCCCAGTACTCTGAACACCAAAGCAAAACTGGTTTTTACAAGGTCTAAAAAGCATGGTAGAAAAATATGACCTCGGGCTAACTAGATACGTTTGTCAACCATGATTTTATTTCTTGATAGGGTAGGGTGGGGTGGGGCTGGGTGGGGTGGGGTGGGGCTGGGTGGGGTGGGGTGGGGTTGGGTGGGGTGGGGTTAGGTGGGAACAGAAATAAGCCGAACCTTCCATAGCAACAAACAGAAAGCTAACTCTGAACGTCAACGGAGACAAACAAACAGAGAAGTAAACAATAATGGCGGGTAAACAAAGATAAACAAATAATTCCTAGATATATAAATAATTGTAAACAAACAATAAATAGATCAACTATTATAATAGGCCCCAGACCTAATAGGCCCCTGATCTACTAGGCCCCAGACCTAATAGGCCCCAGATCTAATAGGCCCCTGATCTACTAGGCCCCAGACCTAATAGGCCCCAGACCTAATAGGCCCCAGACCTAATAGGCCCCAGACCCACAACAGGCCCCAGACCCACAGGAGGCCCCAGACCTAATAGGCTAATCCCAGACTAATAGGCCCCAGACCTGGCCCCAGATCTAATATGCCCCAGATCTACTGGGCCTCAGATCTGCTAATAGGCCCAGATCCTAATAGGCCCCAGATCTAACAGGCCCCAGATCTAATAGGCCCCAGATCTATAGGCCCCTGATCTACTGGGCCCCAGATCTAACAGGCCCCAGATCTAATATGCCCCAGATCTAATATGCCCCAGATCTAATATGCCCCAGATCTACTAGGCCTCAGATCTAACAGGCCCCAGATCTACTAGGCCTCAGATCTACTAGGCCCCTCTAGGCTTCAGATCTACTAGGCCCCAGATCTAACAGGCCCCCAGATCTAATATGCCCCAGATCTACTAGGCCTCAGATCTGTCTCCAGATCTAATATGCCCCAGATCTAATATGCCCCAGATCTACTAGGCCCCAGATCTACACAGGCCCCCAGATGCCCTAGATCTACTATTCTGCTAGGCCCCAGATCTCCCAGAATTATGCCCCAGATCTACTAGGCCCCAGATCTAACAGGCCCAGATCTAATATGCCCCAGATCTAATATGCCCCAGATACTGCAGGGCCTCAGATCTAACAGGCCCAGATCTAATATGCCCCAGATCTACTCAGGGCCCCAGATCTAATATGCCCAGATCTAATAGAGGGTCCCAGAGGCCCCAGATCTAATATGACCCAGATCTACTAGGCCCCAGATCTAATAGATGCCCCAAATCTAATATGCCCCAGATCTATGCCCCAGATCTAACAGGCCCCAGATCTACATGCCCCAGACCTAATAGGCCCCTGATCTACTAGGCCCCAGACCTAATAGGCCCCAGATCTAATAGGCCCCTGATCTACTAGGCCCCAGACCTAATAGGCCCCAGACCTAATAGGCCCCAGACCTAATAGGCCCCAGATCTAACAGGACCCAGATCTAATAGGCCCCAGTAATCCTTACTCTCAGCTTCACCATGAAAATCAACCCACTTGACCTTTCAAACAATCTTTTCCTTACTGTTAAACATCTACCAGTTTTTTCCCATTATATACTCAACGTGAACTTTTCTACCCCTGATAAACTCCCATCCACAACACCGACCTTGGTGTTAATGTGTCAGCTGGATCAGGTATTTCCTTTCCGGCGTAACTTCCAGGTAAACCCAACAGGTGAAATCTGGCAATGTTATAACTAAAAGGTAAATGGGCTGGGAATCCTAACTTCCAAATTTCAGTAAGGTATTTGATTTTAGGGAGTAATTTTGTTTATTTTTATCTATATAATTTATAAACTTTATGATTTATAGTTTTTCATGTTACTTTTGCAGCCATGAATGTTTATTTGTGTAGTTTGAAGTTAGTTATAAGTTGAGGTAAAAAAGTAGTCTGGGAAAATGTGGCAATGAGACTACAGAGGTAGGTAGTTCCTGTCACTATATATACT